CTGCTTCGTCTCCAAACCATTCGTCTCAAAGAGTGGATTGGGTTAGTCCTGGACAGCTGATCTCTGTATCCGGATGCCAAAACGCTACGGTACCACGAACTGTTTGGTAAACTCCACTTTGGCCTGACACGTTTGATGCGCCTTGCTGCACTACTCCCCAAGAAAACGTGGAGTCCTGCCTTGAAGCTGCAAGGCTAGAAGAAGATCCTTCGGTGTGATCAGTTCCTGCGAAAGCAACACCGCAATACACACTTGATTGCTAATACTACCATAACTGCTGCTGGAAGTCTCTGGTCTTTTACAAACGTAACTTTAGTCCAGTAACGTCGTTGGAAACGTTAATGGATGTTTGGCATCCCGAAAACTCCATTGCCAACCTTCCGACAGCCCTCTGAATTTCCAAGTCGGGAGCCAATCCATTCAGAAACCTTTCTGCCCAAAACAATGTGACAACACTACGTTCTTACGCAAAGCACAGGTGCGCGGTGCAGGCTCGCGAAAAATATCCTTGAGGCCATCGCTCTCAGGTTGGAGGCCATCGCTAGTACGTTGGAGGCCATCGCTTCTAGGTTGGAGGCCATCCCTTGATGTTCCTTTTCGTGGTAGGCAGGCACACAATATAGTGTCCTCCTGTTTTGAGGGTCCAGGAGATGGGAGGTGTCTTACTTCAAAGCTTAGAGTGATGATGTCCCAAGGACTCGCATTTCTTGCCGCTATGAATCATGCACTTCTGAGAAAAAAGGGTAAACCGCAATCATTCGGAGAAGACTGAAATCCAGCACGAAAGCTTCGCTTTGCAACAATTGAACTTCAAAGGCATGCAGAAAGCTTGTGGAGCTCGATGTGCAGATGTCGTGGCAGGCGCAGCTTCCACCACATCCACAAGCACCTCTTCCACATCACCACTATCGCTAGCCGACCTCAACCCTTTTGAATGATTCAAAACCTAGGACCTAAGATTTTCAACAGCCTTCTTGCTGGAGAAATCAAATGTCTTTGAGGTGTGCTCTTGCCAGACATGTCAACCCTAAGTCTTATCAGGCTCTTTGTGAAAAATTCCCCAAACTTGCCAGCGGCCGTGTTGGAAATTCTATGCAATCCTTCAAAGGTGCCTAGACCTTCTGGCCTAGACCTTTCAAACATTCCTTCGGATTCCGCACCTGCATTCAATTCTAATAGCGAACATTGTTACTACTAGTAACAAGTGCCACGCTAGTAGTAACAAGTGCCTTACTACTAGTAACAAAAAGCTATTAATTTAATTTAATTCTAATAAAAACATTGTTACTACTAGTAAGGCACCTGTTACTACTAGCGAGGCACCTGTTACTACCCCGTAAAAGAAAACTCGAAAACTCTTGGAGTTGGAAATTCCAGATTCTAGACCTGAACCCTTCAGGAAAGCTGTTACTTTGCGGAAATTCCACAGGAAAAAAAAACACATTTGGGTTTAGAGTTTGCCTAGGTTATTGACCACGCGATGCCTAGGCATGTGATTGAACACCGCAGCATTTGCGGCTGCAAAGCCCTGAAGAGTCCCAAGGAAGACGAAAGCTGCAGTCGTAGAAAAGCTGTGTTGGGCTTGAGCGACCTGTTCTAAAGTTGTGCCTTTCAAGTGAGAAAAAGCAGTCGTAGATTCCTTTGCTAGTAATTACAATTCTTTTTTAAATTCTTATTGTTACTAGTAGTAAGGCACTTGTTACTACTAGTAAGGCACTTGTTACTAGTAGCGATGCACTTGTTCCTAGAAAAGGAATCTATTTCAGGTTACGGAAAAAGAACTGCGTCCTCATCTCCACGATGCTTGGAGAGGCGAGCCGCCTGTCGATTGGCGGTTGGCCGATTGGCCCGTGGCTATTCGCGAGCAACACACAGGTTGGCCGATTGAGACTGTCGTGGCACACAATCAAAGGAACCACCTCACAGACACTTCAAGGAGCAAATGGTCGCTATTGGGTTGGAGGCCATCGCGACCATAGGCTGGAGGCCTTCTGAAGAGCTCTGCGCACTGTGTCTTCGATCCATTCGCCGAAAAGTTCTGCAGCCTCCGGACCTAGCATGATGTTGAATGAGTCAAGTCAAATCGGACCAAGTCAAGTCGGACCTTACTTTATTTAGAATTGAACAGTTTGTCTGATTTGGTGCTGCTCTTGGCTCTCTGGGTCCTCCAAAACAGAAAAAAAGTAATGTGAAGGAAAATACAAGGAAGAGGACATACAACAAAATGGAAGCTGGAAAGAGAATCTGCCGAGGATAAGGACATCCAAAAAGGAAAAGGATTTGTAGGAGAAAAGGAAAGGACGGTTTCTCAAGAAGTCAACCCAAAGAACTCCCAACAAAACTGGCGCTTGGCCCCGTGGTAGGCCTTTTCTTGTTGAATGGTTGGAGGAAGCTCGGGTTGGAACAGGATAGAGGAGAAGGCAAGTAACGAAGGAAGAGGGGTCCTTGATGGGAAGCAATGGTGGAAGCGTAGCAAGGGAGCGGCTAGCGGTGGTCCTTATCATCCACCGCTGTGGGGTGTTGAAACTATACCGGAGGGCAACGAAAACAAGCCACAGAAGCCTCCAAGCAAAAGCCGATTAACAGAATTTGTCAATGTCCTTTCTTCCGTTCATCATGCCTCGGAAACGTCCTGTGTCCTTTAGAAAAATATACAGTTACAATCTTTTTCAAAACAAAAGGAACATTATGCACTGAAATTCCGAAATGTGGTAGCACCTTCTTTTGACACAAATAAAGGCAGCGTCCAACACTACAAAAAGTCTGCATGTATACCATGGCTCATGCACTTGTTGGTAATAGCTTCTTGTTACTACTAGTAAGGCACTTGTTACTAGAAGCGATGC